GGATCTTGAAATCAATCCTCTGGGGGATCGGGAGCCAGTGGAGGCGAGCGAGGGTGGGTGTGATGTGGTCCCGAAGCCTGGTGCGGGACAGTACACGAGCTGCAGAGTTCTGAATGACCTGCAGTGTGGAGGGAGGTGGCGGGAAGGCCGGCGAGGAGAGAATTCCCGTAGTCCAGCCTTGAGGTGACAAAGGCGTGGACCAGGGTTTCAGCAGCGTGAGAGGTGAGGTAATGCCGTAGTCTGGCGATGTTCCGGAGGTGATGGAAGGCGGTGCCAGTTGTGGTGCGGATGTGAGGGAGAAAGGACAGCTCAGGGTCGAACAAAACGCTGAGGTTCCTGACTGGCTTTGAGAGGTGGAGAGTGCAGCCTTGGATGCTGATGGTGTCGGCGCCTGAGGTGCGGAGGCACTGACGTGAGCCAATCAGGAGGGCCTCGGTTTTTCGCACGTTGAGCTGAAGAAAGTTGTCTCTCGTCCAAGACTCGATGTCAGACAGGCAGCTGTCAGGACATCGGTGGTGGTGGAGTTGAGAGTAGAGGAGGAAAGGTAGAGTTGGGTGTCATCCGCATACATGTGGAAGTTAACCCCATGTCTGTGGATGATGTCACCACAGGGGGAGCATATAGAGGGTGAAGAGGAGGGGACCGAGGACAGAGCCCTGAGGGACACCACATGAGACAGTGCGGGGGGTGGAGGAGAAGCCATTTGTCGAGACAAAGTGAAGACGGTGAGAAAGGTAATAATAATAATAATAATAATCCTTGCATTTGATATAGCACTTTTCACGTCGGGAGGACGTCCCAAAGCGCTTCACAGAACACACTGTAAAGTGAATTGACTGTATATTTGTGGGCGAACGCGGCAGCCAATTGCGCACAGCAATGTCCCACAAACAGTCGAAGATTGAAAATGACCAATTTAATTATTGTTTTTGGTTTTTTGGAGGGATTATTATTAGGCTCTGTGTGGAGTAAGGAAACTTGCCCAAGGTTTCGCCCTCTGCCTAGAATTGAACTCAGGTCTCTCACTTGCAAAGCGAGTGCTCTAACCACTGAGCTACAGGTACGACCTAAACCACTCAAGGACAGTGCCTTGAAGGTTGAGGTGGGAGGACAAGCGGTGGAGGAGGATAGCGTGGTCGACCGTATCGAATGCTGCCGATAGGTCGAGGAGGACGAGGAGGCAGAGGGAGCCCTGGTCATAGATGGTCAGGATATCATTGGTGACCTTGACCAGGGCAGATTCTGTGCTATGGGCAGCACGGAAACCTGACTGAAGGGTTTCGAAAAGTGAATGGGTTGAAAGGAAAGAGCGCAGTTGCAAGGCGACAACTCTTTCCAGGACCTTGGAGAGAAAGGGGAGGTTGGAGATGGGCCGGTAGCTTGATAGCTGCGATGCATCAAGGGAGGGTTTTTTCAGGGTGGGCGTGATGGTGGCAGTTTTTAAGGGAATGGGGACAGAGCCAGAGGAGAGCGACAGGTTGACGATGTCGGTGATATGTGGGGCAAGAAAGTGGAGCTGGGAGATAAGGAGTGGAGTGGGGATGGGGTCAAGGGAGCAGGTGCTTGGTTTCAGGGATAGGAAGAGTTTGGTGACAGAGGGTGGGGAAACGGGTACAAAAGTGAGTAGGGGAGGATGGGTAGCAGTCGGAGTTGGGAGTGAGGGGGTGGGGGGTTGGTGGATGTTGGAGGGGAAGTGACCGCGGAGCGAATTCCCTTGATCTTGGATTCAAGGAAATCCAGCATCTCCTCGCAGTGAAGGTTGGAGGAGATGACCTGCGCGGGGTGGCGGGGGGGACGGAGGAGTCGGGTTGTGGTGGAAAACAGTAGCCTGGGGTTGTTCTTCGCCTCCAGGATTATCCAGGATCCAGGATCGCCTCCAGGATTTCAGTGAGCGGAGGTGGGTGGTGTACCAGGGGGAGGAGCGGGAGTAGGAGACAGTGCGGGAAGTGATGGGGGCAAGAGTATCGAGTGTGGAGGAGAGGGTATTGTGGAGGAGGGAGAGAGGAGAAGAGGGGTCGGTGAGGGTTGAAGGCCAGAGGGAGAGGAGTTCAGAGGACTCCAAGGCATCGGTTAGGGATTGTGGGGGTAACTTCTTCCAAGGGCGGTAGAAGATGGTGGTGGGTCTGGTGGAGGTGGGGAGGGGGTGGAGGTGGTGAAGGAGATGAAGTAGTGGTCAGAGATGGCCTTGTCGGTAATAGTGACATCCGAGACACTGAGGCCCCGGGTGATCACCAAATCGAGTGGGTGGCCGTGACTGTGAGTGGGGGAGTTTATGTGTAAGGAGAGGTTGAGTGAGGAGAGCAGGGAAGAGAAGTCTGAGGAGATGGAGCAGGAGGGGGTGAAGTGCAGGTTAAAGTCGCCCAGGATGATGAGGCGATCAGAGCAGAGGCAAAGAGATGTGAGGAGTGTTGAAATATCAGAGATGAAGGTGGGAGAGGTTTTAGGGGGCCGGTAGAGGAGGAGGATTTTAAGGGAGAGGAATGAGGGGTGGGAGAGGGTGAGGTGCTCAAAGGAGGGGAAAGAGCCAGTGGAGTAAGGGGATAGGGCAAGTGGTGTCCTTGAGATAAGGGCAACACCACCGCCACGGCGGTTGGGGCGGGGGATGTGGTGGGAGGTGTAGCCGGGTGGTGTGGCCTCCGTGAGGGGGAAGGTGTCGCCTGGGGTGAGCCAGGTTTCTGTTAAGGCCATGATATCAACGTTCTCATCAAGGATGAGATCGTTGATGACCAGGGCCTTGTTGCAGAGGGAGCGGACATTTTGCAGTCCGATGTGGAGGGAGCGGTTGACAGAAGGGTGTGTGGGAGGGGAGGGGGTCCAGGTTGTGAGGCAGGGGTGGGGGTGATGGGGATAAGGGAGGAGAGGTTGGCTCCCCGGGTCTGTGTCCGGGGTGGGTGGCGAGTGTGGTGGGGAATGGGGCAGTCGGTGTGGCTGCTGCTGGACAGCCAACGCCGAGTGCCACGGTGAGCCCGGCGGAGGATTCCCAGGCTGGAGCAGAGGGAGGTTGTGGGAGGGTCAAGTGGGGATAGAAGACGAGAGGGACGGAGAGAGAGGAGGACAGAGCGGGAGAGATGCAGAGGGGGAGGGTTTGGGGGGAGAGAGGAGGGGGGCGGGAGGGAGGGGGTGAGGGGGCTCGGGTCAAAGCGGCAGCCATAGTGCGCACGCGGGGACCGGGAGCGAGCGGTCAGGTGGATGGCATTATCCCGTAGATTGGGGCAGCCAACCCAACAGGACCATAGTGGGCTCTGATGTGAGCCCTGGGGGGGGGGGCGCAGAGGGATTATTTTTTTTTTGTTGCGCGCGCACGCACCTAAAAACTAATCTATGACGTCAGCGGTTCCCCCGCTCCGCCCCACACCTCTCCCCCTAGCTGATCTCACTCTGGCGTTGAATTTAAATACCTGACAAAGAGATATTTACTAAACCTCTTCGGAGAATCAGGGAGCTGCTGCCGTTTGTCTCCGACTCTCACGCTGGTCAGGTCCTCAGACAGGATGAGGCAGGGATGAGCTGTGTCAGGATCCAGAGTCAGAGAGGCCGGAGCTGAGAGAGAGAAATAACACAGTGAGCGATTGCGTTGAGCTCGGAAATTACAGGCCAGTCAGCCTAACTTCGGTAATAGGAAAGCTACTGGAGACCGTAATATGGGACAAAATAAATCTCTACTTAGAGGAACACGAGGTAATTAGAGACAGCCAACATGGATTTGTTAAAGGCAAATCTTGCCTAACAAATCTAATAGAATTTTTTGAAGAGGTGACTGCGAAGGAAATGAGGGAAATGCGGTGGACATTATTTACATGGATTTTAAAAAGGCTTTTGACACAGTACCGCATAAGAGAAAGTGTGCAGCGGTGTCCCCCAGGGATCGGTATTGGGACCACTGTCTTTCTAATATATATTAATGATCTGGACTTGGGCTTAGGGAGCACTATTTCCAAGTTTGCAGATGATACCAAGTTAGGTAGGATAGTAAATAGTGAAGAATATTGTGACGGACTGCAAGCAGACATACACAGAATGGTGGAATGGGCTGACATGTGGCAGATGGATTTCAATGTAGATAAGTGCGAGGTGATACACTTAGGTAGGAAAAATGATAGGAGGCAATATAGACTTGGTAGCTCAATCGTAAGGGGGGTGAACGTACAGAGAGATCTGGGCGTTCAAGTAAGCGATTCATTGAAGGTGGCAGAGCAGGTAGATAGGGCAGAAAAAGGGCATTTGGTGTACTGAGCTTCATTAGTAGGGGCATAGAGTATAACAGTAGGGAAGTTATGCTTAATCTGTACAAAACACTGGTTAGGCCTCAGCTGGAGTACTGCCTCCAGTTCTGGGCACCTTACCTCAGGAAGGATATTAAGGCACTGGAAAGGGTGCAGAGAAGATTCACGAGAATGATACCGGGAATGGGGAAGCTTAGCTATGAGGACAGGCTGGAGAAGTTAGGACTTTTCCCATTAGAGCAGCGAAGGTTACACGGGGACCTGATAGAGGTCTTCAAGATCATGAAAGGTTTCGACAGGTGAGATAGGGAAAAGCTGTTTCCGCTGGTAGGTGTGTCTGTGACCCGTGGTCACAGTCTTAAGATATCTACCAAAAGAAGCAGAGGAGAGGTTAGAAGAAATGTTTTCACTCAGCGAGTTGTTCGAATTTGGAATGATCTGCCCGAAAGGGCAGTGAGACTCTGAAGCGCGGTGATGGGTTTAAACATGTGATAGACACACGACTGCTGATCAAATCAACTCTGCATCTGCCGCCCAGTGAGGGCTTTACGGTGCGGGATGATGTAGGATCTCCTTACCAAGGCTGGTCATGTTGATCATTTCTCTCCACACTGTGAGCTGCAAAAGCCCTTTGGGTATTGCCAAAGTCAGATCTCCTTGTACCACTGACGGCTCAATCCAGGCTTCACTGATGTTGCAAAGATAACAGATTAACATGAATATCTCGTGGTTACTGCTTTGACATTAATGATTGGATCAGTTTGTATGAAGAGAACGTCAGATCTGATCTTCCGAGAAGTTTCCTCCTGAAATAAAATAAAGAGAGGTCAGAGTTCACAGCCAGATAACCCTCAGCGTGTGGAACAATCTCCACACAGTGGGTCGCTCGGGGATCTTTACCCAAGATAAGAAGGAGTTTTGCATTTGGTGCAGACCCTTTCACGGGACGTTTCAAAGCGCTTCACGGGATTCACCACAAAGTGTAGGTTTTGTGTGTGTTTTGTAGATGAATGTAAGGGCTGAGCTGAAATTCACTCTGTTACGTTGTTAGTTTTGCAGAGTTGGGAGGTGCACAGCATTGTCAGAGGTGTATCCGAGGTGCTGTCTGCACCTGTTCAGGTGGATGTTAAAGATCCTAGAAACGATTGGAAATGTGAATGGATTTACTCCCAAATATAGTTGGTCCTTCACTTCAAAGCTGTTTTGGGGGCTGTTTTGCTGCGGAAATTGGCTATTGCATTCGCCTACAAAATCCAGTCACTACACTTTACAGTGGATTCTGTGAATCGCTTTGAGAACTTCTCCAGAAGTCAAAAGTGCCGTATAAAATGCAAGAATTATTATCATATTATAATCTCCTTTTCTTACCCTCAGAAAGGAGCCAGAGTCGTGTTCTGTAACATTGCTAATTCTCGGTCAATAGATTTTAGCTGCTCTTCAAACCTGAAAAAGCTTCCTCCATTCGCTGTAAAATCTCCTCTTCTCGCTCTCTGAGCTCTCGCATTACACGCTGCTCTGTGTCTTTGAGGCTTTGATGCATTTTAACAAACTCAGCCGTGACGTTGTTCTGCAGACTGCTCGCCTGTTTCTGCAAAATTAAGCGTCAGACATCACAACGGGCCACAGTAAAGAGAGAGACACGACTGAGAGCCCAGACATCACACAGTAAAGGCAGAGACAACTGAGAGCCCAGACATCACTCAGTAAAGAGAGAAATACGACTGAGAGCCCAGACATCACACGGTAAAGACAAAGACATGACTGATCCCAGACATCACACGGTAAAGAGAGAAACACGACTGAGAGCCCAGACATCATACGGTAAAGAGAGAAATACGACTGAGAGCCCAGACATCACACGGTAAAGAGAGAAACACGACTGAGAGCCCGTAGTGGGGATGAATCCCACAACTTTCCAACTCGGAGGTGAGACTGTGGGCCGACTCCTATCACACAGCAACTTACTTTCACGCAGAAATTTTCTCTTTTTGCTCAAATTCAGCTCGGAGAACAGCGTCTTTTCTCTTCAGAACCAAATTGAAAGTTGATTTCAGTTTTTCCTGCAATCAAAATGGAAATCAACACATCTCTAACTGTATCAGTGTGAGCAGAGAGAACACGCAGGGGGCAGCCTGTCAGACAGCGCTCCCAATGACCAGTGACGCCGTTTACCTGGTTAAACTTAAGTAGCTATCTCGACATATACTCTGGGATACCAAAGCCTTAGCTCTTGTCAACTAATGCCTAATATTCTACAGAATTTGTAGCAGGGTGCATCGCTCTGGGGACACACGGCAATATTCAACGTGTCGGTGACCGCCTGGTTGGGATTCTCTTAAGCTCAGCAATGGGCTTCAGTGTGTTTCAGACACTCGGCTGGTGAAAGAAAGAGAGAACAGCAGTCAAGTTATAGACTCTGTTCCTTGTTTACCTTGTAGATCTCAGCAGCTTTGTCTATTGACACAATGCTGTGCGATTTGTGATTCTGTCTCTTGGGAGAAAAGAAACACATCAAACAGATCAATTTCTTGTCTGTTTCACCAAACAGCTTCAGCTCTTCCCGATGATCACCACAACAATGTTCCCTTTCTCCCAGTTTCGGATCCAGACTGAGATTTCGAGCTCTTTCGGACAGATTAGCCAGAGGTCGACTGGCTCTCAGCTCCCTTCCCGGACACGCCCGACGACACTCCGGGCAGGAATGAGTCTCCTGCCTCTCCCAACAGCCTGCGATACACGAGCGGCAGAAATAGTGGCCGCAAACCAGAGAAACCGGATCGTTGAACAGGTCAAGGCAAACGGGGCAAGTGAGATCCTCTGCTAAGCTCTGGTCCTGCTCTCTGCCGGCCATGTCCCCCTCCACCGCTCACTCCCACAAACCGCTGTCACTCTCAGGCTTTGGGGCTGTGTCCAGACCCAGAATTCAGCAGAATGCTTGTTTGGGAGTTTTGTGGCTGTGATCTTCCCCCTGGGCCTGGATCAGAAGGTAATAATAATAATAGTCATGACATTTCCACAGTGGGAGGGTGTGAGACGGGGACAAGAGGAAGCGCCGCCTGTGCAGGGGTTTGTGTTGCTGACACTGACCAGAATGGACAGCAGCAATGGCGGTGCCCGGGAGCCACAATGCACTGCGCGGATGAAAGCGCTCTATCTGTATGGCTCCGCGCACGCGCACTGCCCGTTCACTTACCGAGCGCTGCAGGGCCGGAGCAGCGCATGCGTGGAGATGCCCAGCGCTTGAGATAGAGGGCTTTCTCTGGCGCGATGCATTGTGGCTCCCAGCCCCCGCCATTGTTACCCACCTGAGCCTCTGTCACTGGCTGCACTTTGTGTCTGGGACCTTGGGCTGAGCTGCTCCAAGAGGTGGAGGTGCCTTTTGCAACGAAATGTGGGAATCGACTCCACCCTCTTCACAGCGATCCTTCCCTTTCCAGTCCTCTCTCCTCTCTCTCTCTCTATCAAACCTTCTCATAATTGGAGTGGAGTCCTGTAGCTCAGTGGTTAGAGCACTCGCTTTGCAAGTGAGAGACCTGAGTTCAATTCCAGGCAGAGGGCCAAACCTTTGGCAAGTTTCCTTACTCCACACAGAGCCTAATAATAATCCCTCCAAAACCAAAAACAATAATAAATTGGTCATTTTCATTCTACGACTGTTTGTGGGACATTGCTGTGCGCAATTGGCTGCCGCGTTCGCCCACAAATATACAGTCAATTCACTTTACAGTATATTCTGTGAAGCGCTTTGGGATGACCTCCTGACATGAAAAGCGCTATATCAAATGCAAGGATTATTATTATTATTATTATAATTGTCTTTCCAACAATCAGCGCTGTTCCCAACGCCCCGGATCCGCTCCCTGACCTGAGCTGCCATCCCCAAAATGCCCCATCCCTGTCGCACATCCTGCATTACTCCCGCTCGCTTCTATTTTCCTATCGCCCACACGGCTTCCTCTCCATCCAGGCCCATCCCACAGCTTCCCTGTGCTCCAGGGAATTCTCCACCGGGCTCATTATGGTACAAGCCGTTGGCTGTCCAGCAGTCACCCTGACAGCCCCATCCCCCCACTTTCCCTACAAGGTCTGTGGGTCCCAGATCACGGATTTTAATCTCTCAATTCACATTCCCTCTCTTCCTGTTAATTCTCCTCCTTTCCCCCACCACGCAATCCTTCAAACTCCTCGGCAATCTGTCCCCTCCAAACACCCTACAAAATGTCCGTTCGCTCTCCAGTAAAGCACTTTACATCCATTACCTAATTGTCGTCAAATACATTGACATCCTCTTCCTCACCAAAAATTGGATCACCGTCCCCCCTCTCCGAAGCCACAACACCCAGTTTCACTTTACATCATACCACATATATGTGGATGACACCCAATTCTATCTCTCAGCCTCCACCCTCGATCCCAGGTCTATGATGTCCTGACAGACTGCCTGTTGGACACCAAGTCCTGGAAGAGCGCCAACTTTCTGCAGTTGATCGTCAGCACGAACAAGGCTCTACTGATTGGCTCACTCCAATGCCTCCACACCTCAGGCACTGACAGCAACATTATCCAAGCACACTCCACCTCACCAAGCCAGTCAGGAACTGAGGCACCTTCATCGACTCAACTGTCCTTTCTCCCCCACATCTGTGTCATGACCCGCTCTGACTTACCCCACCTCCGCAACTTTGCCCGAGTCTACCACTGCCTCACATCTCAGGCGGCCGAAACACTCATACACCTCTTCATTACAATCTGCTAACTCTGTCCTTCCTAAAACCACTCCCTCCCCACCTCCCTCTTCGGGCCCACTCATTCCTCCCTCCACTTCCTCCCTCTTCTCTCTGCCCTCCATCACTCCTGATCCCAACACCCTCTTCAGGTCCAACTCCCTGACTGTCTTGTGAGGTTAGTGTGAGGTTTTATAATTCTTCAGTTGAAACAAACTCTGGTTGTTACCTCCCACTGACAGTCACAACAGAGATCAGTCACAGCTCTGACCCCAGAAACGATTTGAAACAAAATAAAAGTCACTGATTGGCTGTGGGCGGAATTAGGGGCAGAAACTGCTGATCCGTCTTCAGACAGAAAAGCGGTAGATTTGAATTCGCAGTGAGTAAAATTGCAGCGTTTTTCAGTTTCAGATCGTTTTTGAAATTATATATAATCTGTTTAGTTTGTTGTGTACAATGAGATCAGTTTGTTTATTACAGTGAGATGGCTTTATTTTTGAATAGATATATTTATTTGAAAGCATATGTTTGTACGACAGTCTAAAATTTACCACTGTGTGTGAGAGAGAGTAAAGTGTAACTGTGTGTGAAAGAGGAAGTAAAATGTTACTGTGTGAGAGAGAAAGTAAAATGTAACCCGCGCTCCTGCGGATGGATAGTGAGGATAAACCCACAGGTTGTGAGATGTGAAGAGAACATTTATTGGATCAGGAAACCGTGAGAAAGCGACAGAAAAGCACATGTAAGAGCTCAGCCGCAGCCTCCACCTCTCTTACCCTCTTTCCGCGGTTCTTGCAGGAAATAAACCGAAAAATCTGCTGCTATAACTTTGCAGAAGGTCTCAGTGTGTCTTTAGACTCTACTGAACACCTCTCTGCCCCCGAATCTCCCCCCCCCGTCCCTAACTCTCCCCCGTCCCTAACTCTCCCCTCGTCCCTGACTCCTCCCCTCGTCCCTAACTCTCCCCTCGTCCCTGACTCCCCCACTGTCCCTAACTCTCCCCCGTCCCTAACTCTCCCCCGTCCCTAACTCTCCCCCCGTCCCTAACTCTCCCCCCGTCCCTAACTCTCCCCCGTCCCTAACTCTCCCCCCGTCCCTAACTCTCCCCTCGTCCCTAACTCTCCCCTCGTCCCTAACTCTCCCCCCGTCCCTAACTCTCCCCCGTCCCTAACTCTCCCCCGTCCCTAACTCTCCCCCGTCCCTAACTCTCCCCTCGTCCCTAACTCTCCCCTCGTCCCTAACTCTCCCCTCGTCCCTAACTCTCCTCCCGTCCCTAACTCTCCCCCCGTCCCTAACTCTCCCCCCGTCCCTAACTCTCCCCCCGTCCCTAACTCTCCCCCCGTCCCTAACTCTCCCCCCGTCCCTAACTCTCCCCCCGTCCCTAACTCTCCCCTCGTCCCTAACTCTCCCCTCGTCCCTGACTCCCCCCCTCCCTAACTCCCCCACTGTCCCTAACTCTCCCCTCGTCCCTAACTCTCCCCGTCCCTAACTCTCCCCCGTCCCTAACTCTCCCCCCGTCCCTAACTCTCCCCCGTCCCTAACTCTCCCCCGTCCCTAACTCTCCCCCGTCCCTAACTCTCCCCTCGTCCCTAACTCTCCCCTCGTCCCTGACTCCCCCCCTCCCTAACTCCCCCACTGTCCCTAACTCTCCCCTCGTCCCTAACTCTCCCCCGTCCCTAACTCTCCCCTCGTCCCTAACTCCCCCCCTGTCCCTAACTCTCCCCTCGTCCCTAACTCTCTCCTTGTCCCTAACTCTCCTCCCGTCCCTAACTCTCCCCTCGTCCCTGACTCCCCCCCCTGTCCCTAACTCCCCCACTGTCCCTAACTCTCCCCTCTCTGCCTGACTCTCCCCCGGGCCCTGCGCCCACTTGATCCACCAATAGACTCCAGACGCGTCTGACTTGAATTCACTGTGACAATAACAACAACAAAATTACATTTGTAAAGCGCCTTTCACGTGGGGAGGACGTCCCAAGACGCTGGACAGACAGAGTTATGGACTCGAGCTGGGGATCCAGGGGGGCGGGGTGGAGAGTGGAGGGCAGGGGGCAAAGCAAGGAGATCAAAACCTAAGTTAACGAAGAGGGTCTTGAGATGAGTCTTGGAGGGGGTGAGGGAGGGGGTGAGAAGGAGGGACTGCGGGATGGAGTTCCAGAGGGTGGGGGCAGAGTGGTGAAAGGCCCCCCCCCGATAGTGGGGTGAGCGAGGCGGGGGACGTGAAGCAGGCCAGAGCCCACTGAGCAGGGGAGCGAACAGGATGGGAGGGGTTAGAAGGTCAGAGAGGTAGGGGGGGAGCAAGGCCATGGAGGGCTTTGAAGGTGAGGATCAGGATCTTGAGCTGTATCCTCTGTGTGATGGGAAGCCAATGGAGTCGGGCGAGGATGGGGTTGATAGCGTCACGGAGCCGAGTGCAGGAGAGGACACGGGCTGCAGAGGTCTGGATGATCTGTAGTCTATGGAGGGAGGAGTTGGGGAGACCGACAAGCAGAGAGTTTGGAAAATCGAGCCTCGATGTAATGAAGGAGTGTATGAGGGTTTCGGTGGTCTGTGGTGTGAGACAGTCAGTAAAATCTGTTTCAGATCGTTCTTAAAAAATATAATCAGTTTAGTTTGTTCTGTACAATGAGATCAGCTTGTTTATTACCGTGAGATGGCTTTATTTATGTATGTATGTATGTATGTATGTATGTATGTATGTATGTATGTATGTATGTATGTATGTATGTATGTATGTATGTATGTATGTATGTATGTATGTATGTATGTATGTATGTATGTATGTATGTATGTATGTATGTATGTATGTATGTATGTATGTATGTATGTATGTATGTATGTATGTATGTATGTATGTATGTATGTATGTATGTATGTATGTATGTATGTATGTATGTATGCATGCATGCATGCATGCATGCATGCATGCATGCATGCATGCATGCATGCATGCATGCATGCATGTATGTATGTATGTTTGTACAACAGTCAACTCAAAATAACACTGAGTCCAAGATCTTCCTTTCACTGTTTCCTGACACAAAACATTCCATTCTTTCTTGTCACATTTCTTTTTGTGGGAACGCTCTTCTTTCTACATGTTTTATTTGGTCTGAATATATCAGGATTCTGTCTCTCTGTATTTGTGGGATCTGTCAGTGTCGGCATTGCCGGGGCTCTGCTCTGCCCCGTGTCTCGGTGCCTGTGTTGGGGGCAGTGACTGGTGGTCTCACTGTTAATGGTGAGATTTGTGCACATTTCCTCACTGGAGGAGGTGTGAGGATTAACGGCAGTTTCTGTTACTTGTTTTATACAATATTTGCTCTGTTTGTCAGGACTGGTTCATTGGCTGATGCTCAGTGTAACCGCCTCAGTGGATATAGCCACTGTGGATATAGCTCAGTGGATATATCAGAGTCCTGTAGCTCAGGGGTTTAGAGCACTCGCTTTGCAAGTGAGAGACCTGAGTTCAATTCCAGGCAGAGGGCGAAACCTTGGGCAAGTTTCCTTACTCCACACAGAGCCTAATAATAATCCCTCCAAAACCAAAAACAATAATAAATTGGTCATTTTCAATCTACGACTGTTTGTGGGACATTGCTGTGCGCAATGGCTGCCCCGTTCGCCCACAAATATACACTCAATTCACTATACAGTGTGTTCTGTGAAGCGCTTTGGGAAGTCCTCCCGACGTGAAACGCGCTGTATCAAATGCAAGTATTATTATTATTATTATATAAAGAAAAGTTTATTGGAAAAGAAAAGGACCCAACTTTGAATACTTTCTCTACAGCTGGTGGCCACACAGTGACTGTGTCAGCGCAGAGGATCCGGGCAGTGAAGGGGAAACAGCTCAGACTCTCTACACATCATGGAGTTCCTGAAAGTAGCTTCAGGTAATGTGTGGGCAGGTGTGGTGAGAGGTTGTGGGCTCTGTCACGTCTGGGTCATTAGGCCGGTCAGTGATACAATACAATACAAAATTACATTTGTAAAGAGCTTTTCACATCAGGAGAACAGTCCGAGGTGCTGGACAGTCAGGGATTTGGACCCGAGCTGGGGGTCAGGATCAGGGAGGGTGGAGGGTGGCCAAAGGTGTGGTTGAAGACAAGGGTTTTCAGACACACCTAGAAGGAGGCAAGGGAGGAAGCGAAATAAAGGGAATGTGGGATGAAGTTCCAAAGGCAGGGAGGCTTAAGGCCCGACCGCTGATGGTGGGGTGGGCCAGGTGGGGGACGTGAAGCAGGCCACAGCCTACTGAGCAAAAAGAGCGGAGAGGTTACTATTGGGTCAGTAGGTAGGAAGGAGCAAGGCCGTGATGGTGTTGAGATCTGGAGGGTTTGGGTTTTGATTCCTGATGCACATTGGAGCTGGAAACAACTGAGTGTCGGGTCTGCCTCCTGGGGTGGGTGCTAGCAGCGTCCCATTAGCATTAAACTGTCTCCAAGGAGTTGGGGCTGACAGAGAGGCAAGAGCCAACTGTCCACGGCTGGACACACCTGTACTGTGGCCAGGTGGGTCAGCAGTATTGCAGTGCACTGCTGTTGACAGCACAGTCAGTCCAGCTCATCGGCAGGACCTGGGGACAGGGAATCCTCCCACTCAGCTCCTGTTAATCCTGCAACCCATAGCCCTATCAGATAGGGTGGTCCTAGCTGGACAAACAGCAGGAAAGCTTGCCAGACGATGATATCAATGGCAAGCTATGCAGTTTTAGCTGGTTGTGTAACTGTAATAATTAGCAAGTGTAGTCACTGACTTAAACACTTTGAGACATCCTCCTGAAGTGAAACACGCAGTGTGAATGTAAATTGTATTGTATTATAGCCAAATGCAGGAATCATTTGCACCATCAAGTAGACCCACAGAGAGACATGCGATGACAGGCAAATAAACTTGAGGATTGTCGGTCAGGACAACAGGATGAAACATTAAACCGAGGTCCCATCTGCCTGTTCGGGTGAAAATAGCATCGCTGTTCACAAACAGAAAGCAGTTCCTCCAGGTGTCCTGGCCAATCCATTGCCCAGATAAAATCATTCACTTTATTGTAGGACATTGCGCTATAGTGAGTGTTCGCTGGTCACTCGCCTGTAGAGAACATCACAGCCAAACCTCACATCTCCCGATCTCACTGTTATACATCTGTGTGGGGGGGAGTGGGGGGGGGGGGCTGTAGTGCGACCAAGAGCAGAAAACCATCAAACTCATCAGATCTCCCGGCTCTGGAGGCTGCAGCTCCACTAAAGCGTTTTCCACATCTCTGTGGCATCCTGTAGCTCAGTGCGGAGCCGTGTTGCTCAGTGTGGGCCCTGTAGCTCAGTGTGGAGCCCGTCGCTCCATGTGGAGCCCTGTCGTGGGGGACGGGGGGAGGAGTCTGGATTCCCCCACCACGCTCCGGCTCGGAGTCAGGCTCTGCCACTATTGTGCTTACCTGTGTGGACAGTGCTATATAAATGTTGTTGTTGTACCAGGTTTTCAGATAATGTGGAGTCCTGTAGCTCAGTGGTTAGAGCACTCGCTTTGCAAGTGAGAGACCTGAGTTCAATTCCAGGCAGGGCGAAACCTTGGGCAAGTTTCCTTACTCCACACGCCTAATAATAATCCCTCCAAAAACAATAATAAATTGGACATTTTTAATCTACGACTGTTTGTGGGACATTGCTGTGCGCAATTGGCTGCCGCGTTCGCCCACAAATATACAGTCAATTCACTTTACAGTGTGTTCTGTGAAGCGCTTTGGGACGTCCTCCCGACGTGAAAAGCGCTATATCAAATGCAAGGATTATTATTATTATTATTATTAATGTGATCTCGGACTCACTTCTGCTGTGTGACGTCTTCCTTTCCGTTTCAGTCCTCCACTGTTTGGCACTGCATGAAGCAGCGAGATCTGCCTCTCTGAACATTGTCAAAAACGTCGCGGTCAAAGGAGATGTCCTGTTTCCTGTCCGCCATCGCAGCCGCGACGAGAAATATGAAGTTACTTTGAGAAAGAAATGGCCCGTCGCTCTTAAAATTCTGGGATGGAATTCAGAGCTGATGGTCAGGCCCCTCACTGTGCACCCCTACTACACAGCCAGGGTTCATCTCATCAAGGCTGGCATCGTCCAGTTTCGGGACGTGTTTCTCAATGACAGTGGGGTGTATGAGCTCACCACAGACTACCTGGGGCCAGTGCTGAGAAACAATAACCGCGATGTGTTTGAAGTGCGAGTGTTCGGTGAGTACTGAGGGTGTGGGTCTGTATCACCAGTGATCAGCTGAACAGGGCCCAGGCACAGGGAGCTGTGCTGTAGTAATAATAATCTTTGCATTGATATAGTGCCTTAGCAAGTCTTTGAGACATCTCAAAGCCCTTTACAGTATACACTGTAAAGTGTAGTGACTATATATTTTGTGGGCAAATATTTGCTGGGTTCAATAGTTCACTGTCCTGCGTATTAATGAAACCATTAAAACACGGCCAACTTCTTCACCTTCAGGTTGCTGCTGATGTCATAGAGTCAGACATTTACAACTTGGAAGGAGGCCATTCGGCCCATCGATAACAATAATAATAATTTAGCCACTTTAATCCATGACTGTTTGTGGGACACCCCTGTGTGCAATTAGCTGTCACAGTTCACTGATAAAATATAGAGTCAATTCCTACAAATGGTCGTGGTTTGAGTGACCTATTTATTATTATTATTTTTTGAAGGAATTATTACCCTCGGAAAAGCAACCTGCCAATCAACTAACAACCAGGTTCCTACTTACTGCAAGGTAACTGGAGGTGTGTGGAGTAAGGAAACTTGCCCAATGTTTCACCCTGCCTGGGAATAGAATTCAGGTCCTCTCGCTTGCGAGGCGAGTGCTCTAACCACTCAGCTACAAGACTCCACTGTAGCTCAATGGTTGAAAAGCCAAACCTCTTGTTGAGGCAGGCTGAAGATGAGGTGGATAAAATAGAAGGTTATGAACCAAGAGCTGCTGGTTTGGATTCTGGTTTGTGCTGAGTTTGATGCTCTCTGTCCAGTGTTGCAGGGGAGGTAACGTGGTGAGAAAAACAAAACAGCCGGTGTTCTTTAGCATCCTCTGCTGGTGAGTGTATTGGGGGGGTGGGTGGTTTTATGTGTGTGTGTGTGGGAGGTGGGAAGAGGAGGTCAGGCTCAGCTATGATGCTCTCTGCAGTCGAGTGGCCGACATTCACTCACTGCCCAGGATCACATAATCAATAATGGTCACTTGGTCGGGCAAACAGAGTTAGACCTGATTAAAGAATTAAAAAAAAAACTTTCTGTTTCAGAACCTGTTTCTCAGCCGATAATCAGGGTCAGTGACGCCTTCACCAATGTCACTCTGAACTGCTCAGTCTCCAAAGGAACAGGTATCGCTTTTTACTGGAAAAAAACAACATATTTGGAGTCTGAAAACTTCACGTCCAGTGGGTCTGTGCTGGTGGTAAAGTCAGGCTGTGAGGAGCAGGCGTTTGAGTACAGCTGTGTAGCCGAGAACCCAATCAGTCAGCAAACCAGTGTCCCAGTGACAATAAAGCTGTGCGCGGAGAGTCAAGACCGAGGTGAGAGAGGAATCCTTGTTGCGTATTAAACCCCAGGACGCACTCGTTATTCAAGTGCTCTGGGGCTCCACCCTGTGTGAGGGGCGCTGTATCAATACAAATTGTTGTTGTTTTATGGGGTCATCTTGGTTCCACATCTCAACCCCCTCGTTGTAAGTGAAGCGCGGAAAATGGCCGATTTCTGGTTTGTCGGTTTCCTGTTGATGTCACTTCCTGCGCTTTGGCTGCATAGGATCTCACTTCCTGTGTATTGTCTGCAGAGGAAATGTTGTTGATGTCACTTCCTGTGCGCTATGCACAAGAAGCAGCGCTGCCACCACCCCCTTTCCTTTGGTCCACAGGACACCAGCGCTATAAGCAAATTGACACTGTGTCGGGGGGTTATTCTGAGATTTCTCTGTGTATTGTTTAATCCACACTCACTCGGGGACTGTGATGTGTAACTGGGCCTCATTGTAGATGCCGTGTGACAGATGCGCAGCAACTATTGATGGACAATCACCCTCGGCTGCACAGGTTTCTCCCTGGGGGCTGGGTGGTGAAAGGCTGAAAGATCCAATTAGTAGATGGGATTTACAGCAGAGACCTGTCACTCTTTCCCCTCAGATCGCAGACGATGGATTCTTCTCCTCAGTCTGATCCCAGCGCTGCTGGTCGCCAGCGTCCTCTGTTACTCTCTCTGGTGGTGGAGGAGGAGGAAACCTTGCTTTATGTGTCCTCAGAGTAACACAACAACAAACATCAGGAAATTACATTACACAGCGCCTTTCAAGTAAGGAGAATGTTCCAAGCCACTGGACTATCTGGGATCGACACCCAAGCTGCTGGTTGGGATCAGGAAGGATGAAGTTGGGGCAGGGTGATCGAAGGCACAGTCGACGAGGATGGTCTTCAGATGGGTCTTGAAGGAGGCAAGGGAGGGCGCGAGGTGGAGGTACTGTGGGATGGAGTTTTAAATGTTGGGGCCAGAGAAGTTCAAGACCCGCCCCCCAATGGTGGGGCAGCCGAGGCAGGAGACTTGAAGCAGCCCAGAACCCGCTGAGTGGAGGGAGTGGACTGCTTGGTAGGGGGTTAGAAGGTCACAGAGGTTTAGGGGAGGAAGGCCATGGGGGGGCTTTGAAGGTGAGGACTAGGATCTTGAACTGTATCCTCTGAGTGATGGGAAGCCAATAGAGCCGGGCAAGAATAGATGATAGGGTCACAGAGCCTGGTACGGGAGAGGACACTGGCTGTACAGTTCTGAACACAGGGCTCAGAGGTGACTCTCCTCCTGGAGAGGGGGGGAGATACAGGGCATTCTTGATATGTAGTCAGGATGCTGTGCCAGGCGGGTCCACAGTACTCCAGGGCATTGCTGATGACAGCACAGCCAGCCTGACTCGAAGGGAGGACTCGGAGGGATAGACTGGGGGTGAGCATTCTTCCTAGTGCTTTGGGGTCTTTAATGTTCACCTGAACAGAGAGGTGAGGCCTCTGTTTACATCTCTTCTGAAGGACGGCATCTCTGACATTCACATCGTTTTACAGGACATGTTGTGAAGTGATTAGCGACATCGCGACAATATGACAAGCGCCATATTAAATACAAGGATTCTTATTAATTATATGATAATGATGCTTTTGTGTTACTCTGTGCCAAAATAGCTGTTTAAACATCTACAAAGTGATCACACTTTTATAATAGTGTTATAATAACACTATTTATAATAATAATAATCCTTGCATTTGATATAGCACCTTATCACGCTTTGTGCTCCTGTGCTTCCTCGTTTTCAAATCCCTTCATGCTGTGGCACCTCCCTACCTCTCTGACCTGCTTACCCCCAACCCATAACCTGCTGCCTCTGCTCCAATGGCTCCGGCCTTCTGCATGGCCCCTGTGCCCTCAGTTCCACCATTGGCGGGCGCCCTTTCAGCCACTACTCCCCGAAACTCTGGAACACTCTTCCTCTATCCCTCCCCATTGCATTTCCACTTCCTTTGCCATCTTGAGGTCACCCCTGAAGACCTTCTTATTTGACCGTGCCTACAGTCACCTCCCCCTCCCCCCACTCAGCATCATGCTCCATCATGATAATAATAATAATAATCCTTGCATGTTCAGCACTGCAGGGCAGTGCCCGATCCTGCAGCACCAGAGTGTGAATGGGCTGTGGCCAGACCAGGCAGGTCTCTGCGGCCAGGTTCCCTGTTGAATCATCATAGAATATACAGTACAGAAATAGGCCATTCGGCTCATTGTGTCTGTGCTGCATCTTTGAAAGCGCTGCCCAAATTAGTCCCACTGCCCCGCGCTCTCCCCATAGCTCTACAAATTTGTCCTCCCCAAATATCTATCTACTTCTCTCTTATAAGTTGTTATTGAATTGGCTTCCACCACCCTTTCAGGCATTGCATTCCAGATCCGAACAACTCACTGCATGGAAACATTTCTCATTCGCATTGTCGAATCCCCTCACAATTTAGAAACCTCTACTAAATCTCCCCTTTACCTCCTCTGCTCCAAGGAGTATAATCCTAGCTTCTCTAGCCTCTCCTCATAACTGAAGTCCCTTTTTCCTGGTACCATCCTGGTAAATCTCCTTTGCACCTTCTCCAAAGCCTTGACATCCTTCCTAACATGTGATGCCCAGGTCTGAACAACAACAACTTGGATTTATATAGCGCCTTCACCCCGGACGGCGTCTCAGAGCACTTACCTGAGGCCTACCTGAGGTACTGTATCTGAGGCCTAACCAGAGTTTTATAAAGGGTCATCATAACTTCCTGATTTTTGTACTCTATGCCTCTTTTTATAAGACAAGTATCCCATATCCTTTTTTAGCAGCTTTATTTACCTGTACTGCCACCTTCATAGATTTTCTTATGTGGATCCCCAGGTCTCTCTGTTCCTGCACACCCTTTGAGATCTGGTTTCTATTAGTTTGTGTTTGGATTGAACCCAATCTGTAAACTTTGCTCCAAATAAAGTATATGATACAAGTGTCCTCTTGTTCTTCTGTCTCGGTGCATCTAAAACTATTGATCTGAGCTATTTTTTCAATCCCAGTTAAAATGTTCTGCACCTTCTATTATGTCCACACTGAATTGTATCTTCTTCAGACTGAACAACAACAAATTACACTTGTATATTGCCGTTCATGTTGGAAAGACATCCCAGGGCGCTGGGCAATCGGGTTTGGGACCTGAGCTGGGAGTTTGGGTCAGGAGGTGTGGAGGGGGTTGGGGTGGGGGGCTGAGGTAGGTTGACCCAAGGCAGTGGAAGTGGATGGATACCTTTAGATGGTACTTGAAGGAGGGAAAAGAGGGGGTGAGGTGGAGGGATTGCAGGATAGAGTACCAGAGTGTGGGGGCAGAGATGCTGAATGACTGAACACCAGGGATCCTGAAGCAGGCCGGTCTCCATCGAGCGGAAGCAGTGGACAGGTTAATATGGGGTTTGGAAGGTCAGAAAGGTGGGGAGACCAAGACCGTGGAGGACTTTGAAAGTGAGAACGAGGGTTTGAGCTAGAGAAGAGCCCAAGCTTGTCAAATCATTGCTGATAGCAAAGATTAGAGTCAGTAGATGTGTAGGTTCACTCTTCACAACAATGTAGCCGTGTCTGAAGGCTGACAAATATTGTTATTCTCGCTTATTCCTAAACACTTATTGCTCTCCTCTGCACTACCTCTAAGGGCTGAACAGCCACTTATGTCTCATCGACCAGAACCTTATGTCTTCCTCCAGGTGGGGACTGACTAGAGCATGTCTGCGTTGAGCACAGAGAATCCATCCTCGCCCGACTTCACTGGCTCCCGATCCCTCAGAGAATCAAGTTCAAAACCCTCATTCTCACCTTGAAAGCCCTCCATGGTCTTGCTCCCCTCTACCTCTACAACCTCCTCACCCTATATATGCCTGCCCACTCCCTCTGCTCCGCAAACAACAAAATACTTCACAGAATATATTATAAAGTGAATTGACTGTATATTTTGTAGGTGAAATGTGGCATCCGAATGCGCACAGCAGTGTCCCACAAACAGTTGTAGATTTCGTGACCAAATTATTATTTTTTTTTGAAGGAATTATTACCCCCAGAAAAGAGATCCACCAATCAAGTAACAACTTGGTTCCTATTTACTGCTTGGCAAACAGAGGTGTGTAGAGTAAGGAAACTTGCCCAAAGTTTTGTCCTACCTGGGAATCGAATCAGGATCCTCTCACTTGCGAGGCGAGTGATCTAACCATTACAGGACGCTACAGGAATCTACGACCAGAGAGAGGCAGTGAGAGGGTTAACCTGTCACTCAGTATTCACTTCGTTGATCAGTAAAGATTACAGGGCGGAGCTGAAGAGCAAGTGACTGGTTATCGGGGAGGAGCCACTCCTCACAAACAGGAAAGTGAAAGCAATTTTGAAACAGAGTTCTGAGGGTAAAATGGCTTCTCAACACCAGACTCACGGTCTGATCGAGGAGCTAATTTGTCCGGTTTGTCTGGATCTCCTCATTGATCCGGTTATCCTGGAGTGTAGCCACAGCTTCTGTCGCTCCTGCATCACACGGTGCTGGGAAAATCAGGGACCAAACACCTGTCCTGTGTGTCAGGAGACTTTCCCGGAAATGAATCTCAGGACCAATCGGGCCCTGGCCAACCTGTCAGAGAAAGCTCAGGAATTGAGGCTGGCCCCGAAGGAGACAGGCATTAAACGTCGCTGTGAGAAGCACCAGGAAGAACTGAAGCTGTTCTGTGAAAATGACAAGAAATTGATGTGTTTAGTTTGCAAAGGTTCCCGGGAACACAGAGGTCACAGCTTCCTGCCCATTGACGAAGCTGTTGAAATCTATAAGGTAAAAGGATCCTCACACAGGATTCATTCTATTCCACTGTATATTTTCACGTTCAAATAATTTGATTCTGTCGTGTTTCCAGTTGAATGTTAACAGGACAGAGGCCCTCCTGTTTGGCTCTCTTCAGCTCCTTCTCACTTTAGGTGCTGACAACATCACTATTCACGATGCGCTCCCACCTGATAAGAGCCAGGACAGTACCTTGATCATTGTTTGACCCTCAACTATCCTTTAAACCTCACTCTCTCTACCTTTCTCCATCTCAGCCCTCCCATGCTACCCTCAACACCTTCCTCTTAGACCGTGCTTTTGGCTAACCTTCCACTCTCATTCACCCTGCCCTCCACCCCTCCTGATTCCAATGCCCAGCTCGAGTGCAAACCCTATCTGTCCAGCCCCTAGGAACTTCCTACCGAAGTGAGCAACCATAACAAAATTACATTTGTAAAGCACCCTTCATTTCGAGAGGACGTCCCAAAGCACTGAACGGTCAGAGATCAGGATCCGGGGCGGGGTGGGGAGAGTGGGGTGGTGGGCAGGATTGGGATGAGGGAGGGCAGAGATGTAGGACAGCTGAAGGCATGGTTGAAAGCAGTATCTTGAGTCGTGCCTTGAAGGAGGCAAGGGAGGGAGCGAGGCAAAGGGATTATGGGATGGCAGAGAGGCTGAAAACCTGGCTGTTGGTGGTAGGGTGGGTCTCGCGGAAGCAGGCCAGAGCCTGCTGAGTGCAGGGAGTGGACCAGTTGATAGGGGGTATCAGGTTAGAGACATAGGAGGGGGAAAGCCCATGGAGGGCGTTGAAAGCAAGGATGAGGAATTTGAATTCTATCTTCTGAGGGATGGGGAGCAAGTGGAGCCGGTCAAAGGTGGTGCTGATTGTCTGAATGATCTGCGGCTTGTGTAGGAAGAGTTGGGGAGGTTGACAAGGAGGGAGGTACCGTAGTCGAGCCTTGAGGTGACAAATGCGTAGATGAGGGTTTCGGCGGCCTGAGGGGTGAGGCAGTGGCAGTGTTGGGCAATGTTGCGGAGGTGGGGGAAGGCAGAGCAGGTCATGGCATGCATATGGGGGAGGAAGGGTCGTACAAGAGCCCAGGTTCCTGACTGGCTTGGTGAGGTGGAAGGTGTATCCGTGGATGCTGATGGTGGAGAGACTCATGCGGGGAGAGGGATTGCGTGGATGGTTAAAGTCTGACTGTTAAACAGCACAGTGAAAGGCCCCATAAATTTGATTTGTTGTTGTTTATTCCAGGATAAAGTGAAATCCTCCTTAGCTTCTCTCACGCAGAGGAAGGATGCTGCTCTACGAGTTAAAGACAAACAGAAACAAAAGATTTCACAAGTTAAGGTAAGTTGTGTCGGGGCTGACGTCTAGGCTCTCAGTCGTGTGTCTCTCTACTTTGCGCAGTGCGATGTCTGACCGTTCATTTTGCAGGAACAGGCGAACAGTCTGGAGAACCATGTCACGGCAGAGTTTGCTAAAATGCGCCAGAGCCTCAATGACAGAGAGCAGCGTGTAATCCGAGAGCTCAGAGAGCGAGAGGAAAAGATTTTACACCAAATGGAGAATAATCTGCAGCAGATTCAGGACAAATTAGATTTTACTGAACAGAATCTCTCAGCATTACAGAAACAGATGAAAAAAGACTCTCTCAGCTTTCTGCAGGTAAAGTGAATAAATTATAATTCATTTCAATAAAAGTTACACACAGTCTGCAGCAGAAAGTCGGTCTGTTAAACAGCCCAGTGATTTTATTGATTATTTTTATATTCTGATAGGGACTCTCCTGCTGTCACTCAGTACAGAACTGAACCCACATCAGTCACTCCCAGGGCCTGCGGTGTTCCTGCAAAGCCAACATCCAGGGTCACTTCAGATGTGGTTATTCTGGGATTAACATTTATTTATCAGTGTGAGAAGGTTATCAATTACCTTCTAATTACAGTGTAATCCTGTTAATGTTCTGTTTATTGCATTTTTACCGTAAGTTACTGAGTGTGAGGGTGTGTGAGGGTGAGCAGGTCTTACTGTGTGTCCCTGCCTATAACCTCACAAACACTACTTTATATCTAAACTTTCTGGACTTTGGAAACGTCATTGAGTGACTAACATTCCTGTAGTAATGACAGTAAACGGTGTACTGTAGAATTCTATTCTTGTATCTGAGTTTGCAATGTGTTTCAGTGTGAGCTCAGATTTGTCTGTGTTTCATTTCTTTAGGAGGAAAGTGCTCGGAAGAGAAGGTATGAAAAGTATTTTAAAATATCCCCAGAATTTAATGCACAAACCAAACACAATGTGTAGTTTAACTTTGTAATGTGATCGTCTCTTATTTCAGGATCAGTGCTGATGGTTTTGTGCTGTCAGTGTCTGGGGGGGATCTGCCTGTGGGGATATACAAAGGGCCTCTACAGTACACAGTCTGGAGAGAGATAATACACAGCATCAGCCCAGGTACATGTCTCCCACTCTCAGACTGAAGGTGTGTGAATATCTGACACTCACCTGATCCTAAATTAAACATTGTTGGTGATGAGATGTCACTGTAACACAGCGCAGAGCTCTGTACTCTTGTAGTTACCGCGTGACGTCAGCAGGTGGCGCTGTGTGAGCGTTTTCACCAACAGCGACTCCAGTCACACGGTCACCAGCGCCCTCTGCTGGCGGCCTGGCGGCGGGACACCCTCAGGGCTGTTTATAGCTGTAACCATTGCAGCTTCGCTTTGCAACCAAAGGATCACACAGACAGACAGACAGACAGACACACACACACACACACACAGACACACACACACACAGACACACACAGACACACACACACACAGACACACACAGACAGACACACACACACACAGACACACACACACACAGACACACACAGACAGACACACACACACAGACACACACAGACAGACACACACACACAGACACACACACACACAGACACACACACACACAGACACACACACACAGACACACACAGACAGACACACACAGACAGACACACACACACACAGACACACACAGACAGACAGGCATTCTGTGATCCCCTCACTCCACTTTGTGTTATTTTCCTCTCTCTCTCAGCTCCGGCCGCTCTGATTCTGGATCCTGACACAGTCCATCCTCAGCTCATCCTATCTGAGGACCTGACCAGTGTGAGAGACGGAGACAAATTGCAGCCACTTCTCGACACCCCAAAGAGGTTTAAAAACTGGGCCTTTGTCCTGGGATCTGAGGGCTTCACATCGGGGAGACATTACTGGGAGGTGCAGGTGGGCAACAAGACTGGGTGGATTGTGGGATTGGCCACAGAGTCTATCAACAGGAAACAAACAATCACATTGTCACCAGAGGGTGGGGTCTGGGGGGTGAGGCTTGGGGACGGGGTCTATCAGGCTCTAACGTCACCTCGTACCCCCCTGACCCTGACAGTGGGACCCGGGAAGATTGGGGTGTTCCTGGACTATGAGGGGGGACAGGTGTCATTTTACAACGCTGACAATATGACTCATCTCCACACTTTCACCCAAACTTTCACTGAGAAATTTTATCCTCTGTTCAGTCCCAAGTGTAATCTTGATGGGAAAAACTCTGAGCCTCTGAGAATCTGCCGGTTGTAAGACAGTAACAGTGACAGTTTTTACGGGAGTGTGGGTGCTGTGTGGATGGAATTAAACAAACAAACTTTATAAAACTTCCCTTTCTATTTTCTTATTTATCCACTTGGGTATATTTTGTTTATTCTGCCTTCCTACACTTGGCTGTATTATTTGTCACCAACATCAACAACTTGCCTCTTAGAGAGCTTGGCACTCGCACAACATCAAATCGGGGGGAGTGAGGAAGTGAGATTTGATTGAAGTGGAAGGTCTTAGGCTTATCTGAAAAAGGGGAAGAAGGGAGCAAGGTAGAGGGATTCAGGGAGGGAGTTCCAAAGTTTTGTGGCATAGTGGCTTAAACCAGGCTGCCAATGGTGGAGCAGAAGCGACGGGGGAGAAGCAGGAGGCCAAAACCAGCCGATCAGGGCAACAGGTGATCAGGGCAACAATGGGGAGTAAGCATGTTGGAAAGTTTGGGAGGTGCCAGGGAATGAAGTGATTTGAAGATGAAGTAAAATGAAGAGATTGTGATGATTTTGAAGTTGATCTGTTCTGTGATAGGGAGCCAGTGAAGGCTGGTGAGGACTAGTGTGATTGGGGTACAGAGTTTAATGTGGGTGCGTATCTGGGAGACGTAGTTCTGAATTAGTTGGATTTTGTGGCAAGTGGAGCTTGGGAGACGAGTGAGGAGGGCATTGTGATAATCGAGGTGGGAGGCGACAAATTGTGAACAAGCATCTTAGCTGCATTGGGGTGAGACAGGGTCAGAATTGGGCAATGTGACAGAGGTGGAGGAAAGCGGTCTTGGTCAGGGACTGGATGTGGGATAGGAAGGACAGCAAGTAATTGAACCTGACTGTTATGTACAGGTTCGGTAAATCTTAGAGATAGGCCGGGGAGTTTCAGGTCAGAGGTGCAGGACAGAAGGCATTGATGGGACCCAAGGCGTATGGCTTCCATCTTGTCAATGTTCAGTTTCAGCAAGTTCCAGGCCTTTATGTCCAACAAACAAGCTGTCAGGACATCTTGGGATCTGGAGCTTGGAATTGTGGAGGAGAAATAGATTTGGGTGTCATCTGCATACCTGTGGAAGTTTACCCGACATCACTGTGAGCGAGCATGTAAATGAAGAAAAGGAGGAGGCCAACCTTGATATGCCCCACAGTGACAGTGAACATATGAGCTTTATAACTTCCTTTTCTTTATCTCTCATTTTCCTATTGATCCTTCTTGTGTTTTGTTTATTTTGTCCTCCTGCACTTGGCTATATTACTTGTCCTTTGTGCACTGCATCATGTTTTTTAGTGATGTTCATTTATGCTCAACTAATAAAATAATAACCCTTGCATCTTCATATTGCACCTTATCACATCATCGAGGCATCTCAAAGCACTTCTCTGAATATTGGAAAGGGAGTGGACTGTATATTTTGTTGGCAAAGCGCAGCAGCCAATGGCACAAAACAGTGCTACGTTTTGGGGAGGTGAGGGAGGGATTATTATTCCCAGAAAGAGATCCGCCAATTGACTAACACCTAGGTTCCTACTTACTGCTAGATAAACAGCGGCATGTGGAGTAAGGGAAGTTACCTAAAGTTTTTTAAACTGATTTGTCCTTGAGTAATGCCTCCCAGTCAATATCTATTAGCTCAGCCCTCAGCCCTTTGACATTTCTCCACCTAAAATTATACATCAGAGTTTGATTACGTGCTGGTGCTATTTCCCCAAGTTCAACTGAAGGTTTTTGAACTGTGGTCACTTCCTGAATAGTATCTGGGTCACTGATTAGAATGAACAAGGGACCTGGCTCTTGTGGGCTCCCTACTCACTGAGTCAGGAGGCAGTTGTGCACCACAATTACAAGCTCAGAGGCTTTCTCACTTGGGCATTCCCAACAACAACAACTTGCATTTACACAGGGAAGCAGGGAGCAAGGCAGAGGAATTTATATGTAAACAAGCTGTAACCTCTAAAGCTATGCTTGCAACCAAAGAATCCAATATGGAATGTAGATTGACACACAGCAGATATACAGACAGTCATTTCATTTTCATCTATGCTCATCTGGGTGGACTCCTGTAGTAGGACTCCTTTTCGGAGGACTCAGTGGGAGGACTTGGCACTTGAAAAATGTAATTTTATTGTTGTTGCCGCGACTTAGCTTTGTCTATGTTCTTTATTTTGTTCCCGCCACTTGGCGACGTGAATGTTCTGGGACGCCCGATGCCATAGTGCCACGGACAACCAGCCTGGCCACCAAGTGTAACTGGTTACATACGTAGGTGCTTTGTGATGCATGATGCCCCAGCGCCACTTTGACTTACCGGCCACCAAGTGTAACTGCAGAGAAAATGCAAAACTGAAAATAACCCGTAAGCGATAGCAGATACCCCCCAAAAAATGCCTGTGTCACTCCCAGATACACGGCCTTTCCGATGATGTATAAATCATGTCTCTATGTCATTTGGATATTGAGATCATTCTTGAAGCGCAGACAGACATTGTTGTTTTATTAGTGTATATAACATAAGAAGATAGATGTATTCCCAGTATATGTTGGGCTGATTGAAGTCCCCCATGAGTAGTACCTTCTTTTCTCTCACACATTCCTAATACAATCATACACTGCAGCAAATCCCGAATGTTATTCCAGCCATTTTCTCTTTCAGCAAATCTAACCAGAGGATTTGATACCATGATTGATCCTTGCCTCAACCCTTGTCTTGACTCTCTCTCTCTATAGGAAGGGTTGTGTGTGTGCGCACGCATGTGTGTGTATCTCTCTCTCTCCCTTATGGGTCTCTCTCCCTCGCTATCATGTGTATACATCTGTCTCTCTAATGGATCTATTCTCTCTCATGGGTCTTTCTCTATTTCTCTCTCTGTGTGGTGTGAGTCTATCTCTTTCTGTGATGGGTCTCTTTCTCTGTATTGGGTCTCTCTCGCTGAAGGGTCTCTCTCTCTCTCTCTCTCTTTCTATGTGGTGTTTGTGTCTCTTTGAGATGGGTCTCCCTGTCTTACTCATGGATCTCTCGCTGTGATAGATCATTTCTCTGACATCTCATGGATCATCGCTCTCTCTGTTTGATGGGTGTCTCTCCATCACTGATGAGAGACAAGCAGGTGAGTGAGCAGACATGAGCAGCCGTTTGCGCAGATGCGAGCAGTAAGTGGCTATGGGGGAATGAGGAGGAGTTAGAGAAGAGAACTGGGACTGAGGAGCGCTGACCAACCTTGCCCTGTACTGAAGACGGGTTTTCCAATCGCCAAGCCACCATTTTGAAATCTGTCGCTTGGACCAATAGAATGTGTGACATCACTTCTGCACGCCGTTTTTCAACCCATCCTGCCCCCTCACCACTACATATTCTCCTTTACTCGGACCTCCTCTTTTACCTCCATCTACTACCACCCTCCCTCTCTGGTTCTTGGTCAAACAAATCTATGAGCAATATCCCCACGGTCCCCCCCTCTGCACTGCCTCCTCTAGCTTCCCACAGCCTGTGGGCTGCTGATACCCCACCAGTCTCTGCACGTGCATTCATCTCCAAAAACCTCCCTCGGTCTATCCCCCTAATCATCGGTGATGGGGAGCCAGTGGAGCTTAGCCAGAACTGGTGAGACGTTGGTACTGTGTTTCATCCAGGTCAGGATGTGGGTGGCAGAGTTCTGAATGGGTTGGATCTTTTGAATGGTGAACTGGGGAGACCAACGAGGAGTGTGTTAGAGTAATCCAAGCAGCAGGTGACAAATGCATCCACAACAACAACAACAATAAAATTACATTTATAGAGCGCCTTTCACGTCGGGAGGATGTCCCAAAGGAACAGTTGAACAGTCAGGTGTCGGGGCCTGAGCATGGGGGAGGGGTGGTATAGGGGTGAGGGAAGGCAAAGAGGTGGGAGGGAGACCAAACTGCATTTGGTGTAAGGTACGGTGGGAGGGCCAATGTGGCGGAGGTGGAAGAATGCGGTCCTGGTCAGGGACAGGATGTGGGGGAGGAAGGGCAGCTGGGAGTCGAACCGGACGCCTAGATTGTGCGCTGGTTTGGTGAGTCTGAGAGAGAGCCCATGTAAGTTGAACACCTCACCCTATAATATTCCTCCTCTCTCTCCTTCAAAATCCTTCTAGTTTACCGCTACCCCAACCTCATGGCTCCTTCCTCATGGACATCTCCTCTCTCCTCTCATCCTTATCGCTCTGCACAAAGCCCTGCTCATTTCAACCTCCATCTAAATATCCCCTGCTCCATCTCCTCTGCCTTGTCTGTCTCGGCTCCACTCTAAACCTCACCCTTCAAGTAAATTCCCTGACCCTCAACCCTGGCCAACTCCTTGACCTAATAATAGCCATGGCCTAGACATCACTGATCTGTACATCACACACAAGGCCATCTCCCACCACTTCTACATCTGCTTCTCCTCCCACATCACTCTCCCCTCCTCCAAACCCTCTGCCATCTGTTTCCACCCAAAGAAAAAGCTTTCTCTCGAGTACCTCACAAATACTCTCTTATCCTCTGAGCTTCTCTCCCTCTGGCGTTCCACCCATAGTGATCTGTTAAACGGCCACCTCTCCTCAACATTCATTTCTCTTGTCCCCCTGAAAACCTATTCTGTCCCAAAGTCTATCCGTTGCCCTGGTACAAAAATGACCTCCTTTCCCTCAAGCCCCCCCAGTCGCTTGATTGTAGATGGCACAAAAGGGCTTCACTGTTCACCACCAACTGTGGGTCATCGCATCACAACCATAACCCATATGAAACCGACCACATGCTCTCTCGACCCCATCCCTATCCCTTTCCTTACCTCCCAGCTCCACCTCCTTGCCCCCCCTATTCACTGACATCATAAACCATAGACAAAAAAAATCATAGACAAAAACAAACAATAACTCAATCCATGACTGTTTGAAGGATATTGATGTGCGCAATTGGCTGCCCCGTTACGCCCACAAATATAGTCAATTCACTTTACAGTATATTCTATGAAGCACTTTGAGATATCTAGAAATGTAAAAAGTGCTATATCAAATGCAAGGATATCAAATATATCAAAACCACCGTCATCACCGTAATAATCCCTCCAAAACTAAAA